TTTTTCATGCATTTTCATGCATTGCTTTCAGAATAGTTCAAAGCTGAAAATGTATTCCATGTCACCATAGTATGACTTTTATCCACGTTGAAAAAAGAACTGCACATTTCAGAAAATAGTATGATAAATTTATATAAATAGCTAATCAAGGTGTTTTGAGTATCAAAATAAAGCTAAACTAGTATAGCTAATTCAACCACAATTTTAAGATGCAAGACCTTAATCAATCTTAAAATGTTTATATCAACATTCCTGATTCAAGGGAGATCTAGACATATGACCAAAAGTCTATACCTGTTGACTAATAAACATGTACATGTTCATGTATGTTGTGAGAAGAGTAAATAATGATGACAAGTCAGAAGTGGGGTTAATATCCCCCCCCCCGTTTCCCCTTCCCATTCCCCACCCCAGTTTGTTCATGTACGCAAACCAGTACTTGGTTTTGACATTTTAAAAAAATGTGAATATATACAAATAGTTTAACAGTGCATCTCTCGATCTGAATAATTTTCATTCCTAATTGTAAAAGAGTGGGTTGATCCAAAATCATGAAAAAAGTTCACGGTAGCTCAGTCGGTAGAGCGCTCGCTCCGTGATCGGGAGATCGTGAGTTAGAATCTCGGCCGCGACTGACCCAAGTCGATAAAACATATGTAATCAGAGATTACAGAGCTCACCTCAACGAATGTTGTCTTTAAGTAAGGCAAATGCCCACACTAAACTAACAATCTAGGGGTGTGCATCTCTAGATCCAACATTTAGGCAATTTTGGTCTGATAGGGCTTGCAGTTACTTGGGAATAGACTTATCTGAAAGCTTAAAACTAGTCACTCGTTCAAAAAATGTAAGTTAAATCCAGCATCCGAAGCAAGTTTGAGATTGTTCGTCCCTTCATGCATCATCCATGCAAGTTTGGTTCAGATAGGCCTTATAGTTACTTGGAAATGAGATCTGCTCCAAAAACTTTAACCTGGTCACTCATCCGGAAAATGTAAGTCAAATCCAGCATCCGAAGCAAGTCCAGTAGTGTGCATCCTTAGATGTATCATCCATGCAAGTTTAGTCAAGAGGGCTTATAGTTACTTGGAAATGACATCTGCTCCAAAAATTTTAACCTGGTCACTCATCCGGAAAATGTAAGTCAAATCCAGCATCCGAAGCAAAGTCCAGTAGTGTGCATCCTTAGATGTATCATCCATGCAATTGGTCAATATAGGGCTTATAGTTACTTGGAAATGAGATCTGCTCCAAAAGTCTTAACCTGGTCACTCATCCGGAAAATATAGGTCAGATCCAGCATCCGAAGCATGTCCAGTAGTGTGCACTCTTAGATATATCATCCATGCAAGTTTGGTCAATATAGGGCTTATAGTTACTTGGATATGACATCTGCTCCAAAAACTTTAACCTAGTCACTCATCCGGAAAAAGTAGGTCAGATTCAGCATCCGAAGCAAGTCCAGTAGTGTGCATCCTTAGATGTATCATCCATGCAAGTTTGGTCAATATAGGGCATATAGTTACTTGGAAATGACATCTGCTCCAAAAATTTTAACCTGGTCACTCATCCGGAAAATGTAAGTCAAATCCAGCATCCGAAGCAAAGTCCAGTAGTGTGCATCCTTAGATGTATCATCCATGCAATTGGTCAATATAGGGCTTATAGTTACTTGGAAATGAGATCTGCACCAAAAACCTTAACCTGGTCACTCATCCGGAAAATATAGGTCAGATCCAGCATCCGAAGCATGTCCAGTAGTGTGCACTCTTAGATATATCATCCATGCAAGTTTGGTCAATATAGGGCTTATAGTTACTTGGATATGAGATCTACTCCAAAAACTTTAACCTAGTCACTCATCCGGAAAATGTAGGTCAGATTCAGCATCCGAAGCAAGTCCAGTAGTGTGCATCCTTAGATGTATCATCCATGCAAGTTTGGTCAATATAGGGCTTATAGTTACTTGGAAATGACATCTGCTCCAAAAACCTTAACCTGGTCACTCATCCAAAAATATAGGTCAGATCCAGCATTCGAAGTAAGTCCAGTAGTGTGCATCCATAGATGTACCATCCATGCAAGTTTGGTCAATATAGGGCTTATAGTTACTTGGAAATGAGATCTACTCCAAAAACTTTAACCTAGTCACTCATCCGGAAAATGTAGGTCAGATCCAGCATCCGAAGCAAGTTCAGTAGTGTGCATCCTTAGATGTATCATCCATGCAAGTTTGGTCAATATAGGGCTTATAGTTGCTTGGAAATGAGACCTGCTCCAAAAACTTTAACCCGCTCCAAAAACTTTAACCTGCTCCAAAAACATTAACCTGGTCATTCTTTAGCTGAAATTGCAGCATCTGAAACCTTAACTTGTACAATAAAACACACTCGAAGCATCCTCCATGCATCTCTGACTAATATAGGCCATAGGAGTACTTGAAAAGAAAACTGCTCCAAAAACCTTAACCTGGGACGCCGACGCCGACACCGACACCGACTTCGTTGAGGTGAGCTAAAAATGGGTAGCAACTGTTCCTTCACCATGCGCAGTTTGAAGTGAAAGTTGCGGGTCCTTCGGATGAGACCTTAAAAACTGAGGCCCCGTGTCAAGGTAGGCGTTGGCATGATAAAGATCCCTCACTGCTCAATGGCCCTGAGTGCCGAGTAAAGGTCAAAATTTGAAACCCTTCACCGGTATATGGTGATGTCTCTATATGAGTGAAAAATTCTCGAATGGGACGTAATACAACATACAATCAATCAATCAATCAAATTTATGAATGGAATGTCAAGCAAACTTATTATTGATGCACTTTTGAATACCATTAGAGACATAATAACACAAGAAACAAAATTATGTATAGTCAAATGGAAAAGTTTGTTAATCATTTTTAAGTTACATGATCTTTTGTCATTTCAGGGACAGGGAATGGGCGGGGAAACTGGGGGAGAGTGTTCCATTTAATCTGTCATAATACAAAGACGGCTTTGAGGTTTCCAAATTTATTTATAGCTATCTGATTCAGATTGTTTTAGTATCAAGGAAAGGGAATGCAGACCCCCCCAGGGAAGACTTTCACATTTACTAAAGTTATTTCCCTTTGCGAGTCAATCTGGGGTCAGTCTGCGTAAGGCTACACCGTTACAAAATCTTAGAAATGAAATTTATATGAATATGTTTGTAATGTTTTTTCATGTTGCCCCATAGGAAATAAATGAAAGGATCAAAATTGCCCGATAGGTTTGAAGTTTGGAAATATTTACAGGCTAACTTACAAAGGACTAAAGTGAGAAAAATAAGCGTTACGTCGACAAGGGGAGACAACTCTTCAGAATGTGAAATTCCTCTATTATGGCATCCGATGATCTTTGATCTTTTTAAATTATAACCTAACCATTTGCATTTCAGATTATTTTATCCCAATCTATACCTAAACTTGTACTTACAGACCGTCATAGGTTCTGTCAACTTAATGAAATATAATCCAATTAATAAAACACACAATGAATTAATTCCCCCCCCCCCCTTAAAATTGTCAAAGTTAGCATAAATAATAGTTTCATCGAGAAAATGCAAAAATGTCTTCTCGGTAGACTTCATTTATACCCTACAAAATCTCTAGAACCCAGAAGCTTCTTGGGGCTTCGCTCCCTGGGCCCCTACCAGGGCTTCGCCCTGGACCCACTGGAAGCCTCAGGGCGGTCCCCAGACCCCCAGCCTACTTTATGCGCCCCCTTAACTTCAATTCTACTTTTGGAGAATCAAGTCAGTACATGTATGTATAACTTTCATATAATACGAGTCTTAGAATCATCAAACTTTGTTGTTTGACCTATATTGGGTCTTCAGATTGTGCTACAAAAAAAGTAAGTAACTGTAATAATTATTTTCAATATTTTTTGGTCATATCTTAATATTTCAAATAATAAAAGGCTTAGAATCATCAGAATTTGGCAGTTGACACACCTTTGGTCTTCAAAGCTTGTTAACCAAAACAATGAACTTTTAATATAACCATGATATACTAAATGTTGGTCATTGTGCCCATTTCTTTGGTTGATACACTTCACGGCCTTCGCATTTATCAACTGACAATAATGGATTGTCCTAGCTTTCACATTGTCAAAAATACGAAATTTATACAAAATGAAAGCGAATGTCAGGAAATTCAAGAAGAAAGTCAGACTGCCTGACATTTTCCAAAAAAAGTTTCAAGGTCCCATGATGCACCAACTTAGAAGGGTTGATGACTCTAAACCTCTCAGTATCAGAAATAATAAACTAGATCGTTTTAAAATGATTAGCCATAAAGTTAACACAGTAGGTAACGGTGACATAACTTTTGGTTGACACTCTTTATCGCCCCCATGATGCATATACTGACAAGTTTTGATGATCATAGTCTTGTATAAGGTATGTATAAAATCAATTTGAAAATAAATACCTTCTCAATTAAAAAATTACATCACCATGACTTACGTTTGAGTCAGAATGACACGAGTACATATGATGCATCAACTTACAAGATTTGATTATCCTAGTTATAATATGGCCAAAATATTAAAGTTTTCACAAAATATTAATTTAGGTCACATTTTAAGTTACCTTGAGGCCGTGACTTTATCAGGGTGATATCTTGTACAAGTATTTATCTACAACACCTCTTCACCCTGTGTAAGTTCGGTGATATTCTGCCCAATGGTTCTTGAAAGAATATGTTTGCATCAACTTTTATTTTCCTAATTATCTTCCTTTGTTAAAGGGTTATATCCAAATTTTAGGTACAAATGAAAGTCCTTTGGCCAAGGATACTCTGTAACAAATTTGACAAATAGGGATTCTACAGATATAGCCACTATTCAAAGAAGTTTAATGTGATGAGCAATTTGGTCCATTTTCAAAGCTTTCTTAAAGTAAAATTTCTCTAGGTCCTTCCCTTTAAAGTATTCATAAGCATTTTTCTTTCAAAGAGAGTTATCTAGGAATATAACTCCAAATAAGATAATTTTTTTCTGAACAATAAGAACTTTATTTTGTATTGTATAATGAGTAATCAAGTCAATATTCACAGCTTTACGAAAAATAACAACAATTTGGTGACTAGTTCTTCCCCATGCGGTATTTAGAGGCAATTACGGATTGTTTTAGCTTGAACTCCTGATGCTCTTGTCTGTGAATGAACAGCAATGCCGATTGCAAGCAGCATCTTATCCTGGTCGCATGAAATGTCCCCATTTTTTGGTCAGGTTCTTTGGTAATCCAAGCCGAAATCAAACTGCAAAAGATGATTTAAAAAAAAACTGAAAAAAGATATATCAAACATTCCGATAAAAATGACTCAATTTAACAACTGTGATTTCCCCCATTAAATGATGTATTAAAATCATATTTCAATGAACATCTTTGATGTATGTACAGTTGATCTGCATGACAAAAACGTATTATCTTGAAAACTGTTGCAGAAGTTATCAGAAAATGCAATTTTTTGCATAAAAATGAGTTCTTAAAAAGTTTACCAACTAAATTTAAAAAATGCGATTTCTTTTTTAAATGATGAAAAACCAAAATCCAAGTTCCATGTTCATCTCCATTGTATAGTGATTTCAATTAAAAAAAAATAAAAACTTAAATCCCCTTTAATGGAAAACTCTTCAAAGAGAAAAACCGAAGGAGAAATTACCCTAAATGCAATATTATGCATCAAATTGACAACGTTCAACAGCTTGTATTTTTCTAAATGACCAAAAACCCAAATCAAGGTGCAATAAAAATCACTGACGTACACATAATTATTTGAAAAAATAAGTTCCCAATTTCATAAAATATGAAAGCTATCTAAACAAATGATGAAACTTACAAGCAATATTTGAATTAGAAATGAATAAGATCAATTGGTACCTTTCAAATAGACAGTCAAAATCAAGCATCATGCTTCTCTCTGATGTATATCATATACTGAATCTGCAATATTAAAAAAAAATATCATAAAACTGTTGAAGCAGTTATCTAGAACAATAGGCCCAAGGGCCTTGAAATGCGCTTGTGATAAATTGTACAACCTATCACTTCTATTCGAAGCCTCTAAGTATCCTATATATTTAGATAAAGCCCTTAAATTCAAAAAGTAGGTCATTTTATATAAAACACTCTGAGAACCCAAGATGATTCTAAGTCAATTAGCACCTGATATAGGTCATGGTGACCTATTTATCATTTGTCATTTTCTGAGGACCCAAGATGCAGCAACTATCTAAAATTGATGATTCTAAGCCAAACTGTACCTGAAATATTTATATAAAGCCATAAAATTTCAAAAGTAGGTCAAAATGACATACTTTTCAGTTGACATACTCTGAGGACTCAAGATGCAACAACTGACAAAGTTTGATGATTCTAAGCCAATTGATACCTAAAAATATTTAATTATAACCATAAATTTCAACAGTACGTCACAGTGACCTACTTTTCAGTTGACATACTTTGAGGACCCAAGATGCATCAACTGACAAAGTTTTTTGATTCTAAGCCCATTGATACCTAACAATATTTAATCAAGTCACAGTGACCTACTTCTTAGTCGACGTACTCCTAACATCCAAGATACATTAACCAACAATTTTTGATGACTCTAAGTAAGTAAGTACACGAAATTATTCAAATATAGCCTTAAAATTCCAAGAGTAGGTCTGAGTGATCTACATATTCGACATACTCCAAGGACAAAAGATGCACCCACTTACAAAATTTGATAATTCTAAATCAATTAGTACCTGACATATTTAAATAAAGCCATAAAATTTCAAAAATAGGTCACAGCGACCTACTTTTTAGTTGACTAACTCTGCGGACCGATGATGCATCAACTGACAAAGTTTGATGATTCAAAACCAAATAGTACCTGCAATTTAAATAAAGCCATACAATTTCAAAAGTAGATCACGGTGACCTTCTTTTCAGTTAACTTACTCCAAAGACCCAAGATGCATCAACTGAAAAAGTTTGATAATTCCAAACCAAATAGTACTCAAAATATTTAAATATAACAAAAAAATTTCTAAAGTAGGTCATGGTGACCTACTTTTCAGTTGACGTTTTTCGAGGACCAAAGATGAATCAACTTACAAAGTTTTATGATCATAGGCCTTGAAATGTCCAAAATATGCCTCTAAAACGCTTTGAAATTGAATGCCTGCAAAGTTCAAAAAGTAGGTCAAGGTGACCTACTTTTTCATAAATTTGTTTCATGGCGCCAAGCTGCATCATCTTACAAGATTAAGTGATTTTAAACCTCTCAGCATTCGAATTAATGAAATTCAATGTTTTTAAAAGATTACCCATAAAATTCAAAAAGTAGGTCAAGGTGACCTTCTTTTAGTTGACGTACTCCGATGACCCAAGATGCAACAACTTATAAAGATTAATCATCGTAGACCTTGCAGTAAGCAAAATATTAACATTTTAATAAAATGTAATTTTTGGTCAACTTTGAAGTGACCATGAGACCACGCCTTTGCCCCAGGGCGATTCCCCTTGCAAATTTTAATCTACAGCATACCCTAAACCTAATGTGTAAGTTTGGTGATAATCTGCCCAGTGGTTTTTTGAGAAGATTTTTAGCAACCAGTACTTTTGGTTTTATTAACCAAATTATCTCTCTTTGTTTAAGGGTCACAACCCTAGAATTAATAAAACCGGGAGTCTTTCGGTCATGGATACCTGTGACAAATTTGACAATAATTGGCAAAGGGGTTCTTGAGTTATGGCCCATATTCTAGAAAGTTTACGCACACCGCACAAATGGATATAGCATTAGCTCTTTGAGCCTTTGGCTCAGAAGTACAAATGTAAGCAATATAACACATCAAATGGATATATTTATCAACAGGTATTTTCTTATGATATCAATGATCAAAAATCAAAATCCAAGTACAATGTTCATATCTTATGTAAGCTCATTTGACTTTAACGTATGTTCATTAGACTTTAACAATAAAAACATATTATCCCTTTCATAGATTTCTTTTAGCAGTAAACAGAAAAAGGACAAATCTGCAGAAATGTTGTACCCTAAAAGTAATATTTTGCATCAAGTTGACTATGTTCAACAGCTTGTATCTTTTTCACAAATGACCAAAAATCAAACCAAGGTGCCATGCACATGTATCATGTAAAAATATTTGGGAAAATAAGTTCTTAGATTAAGAAGTGTTGGGCTGTCAGAACAAAAATATTGAACCCTATATACAAGAGGTGGCATAAAAATCAAGAATACCAACAACTCGTATTTTTGTCATAGAAGATTAAAAGCTATATCCAAACACTTTTCTTCCAAATGTACAACTGCTTTGCACAATAAAAAATTCCTATTTTTCTCTCCTAAATAATCAAAAATCTAGAATATAGGTACCATGTTAATTTATGACGGATAGATAATTGATCAACAATTGTAGGAGTATTCTGGAAAAAAGAATGTATATGTACAAGCAGGATGTACCCAAACCAATGTTGTATTCTCTTTTATTTTTCACAAAAATGACTGAAGTTCAATAATTGCTATCTGAACCATAATGATTAGAAGTCTAAATCCAAGTACTAAGCAAATACTAAATGTACGAACAAATTGATCTCCAAACCAAAACTTCTTATTATGAAAACTATTGAGAAGTTATCCGAGTAAACAATGAACCCAGTATGCAATATTTTGCATCAAAATGACTGATTTTAAAAATCGGTACCTTTACAGATGATCAAAAATCGAAGTTGAAGCGTCATATTAATATCTGATGTATGTTTTTTTTTTATTTTAAAAAAAAAATGATATCTTTAAAACTGTTGAAGGAGTTATTTAGAAAAATCATGTACACTTGTATGCAAAAAAAAAAAAAAAAAAAAAAAAAAAAAAATTAAATAAATAATTAAAAAAAAAAAAAAATTAAATGGTCAAATTTATCAACTGGTAGTTTTTTGTCAATGACCAAAATCAAAATCAAAGTACCATGTTCATCTCTATTGTATGTTCATTAGACTTGAACAATTAGAAACCTATATTCCCTTTCATGGGATTTCTTTTAGCAGAAAATTGAAGGAGAAATTATCTGCAGAATTGTATGACCCTAGAAATAATATTTTGCATCAATTTGACATGTTCAACAGTTTGTATCTTTTACATATGTGACCTAAAACCAAACCAAGGTGCCATAGGGGGATGTGCATATCACTGATATAAAAACATTCAGGAAAAAGTTCTTAGGTTTAGATATGTAGGAGCTATCTAGACAAACAGGAGGCCCAAGGGCCTTGAATCGCTCTACTAATAAACTGTACAACCTACGGTATCACTTCTATTTGATGATTCAAATCCGTATAGTACACCAAAAATATTAAATACAGCCATAAAATTTCAAAAGTAGGTCAGGGTGACCTACTTTTCAGTTGTCGTACTCCAAGGACCCAATATGCATCAACTGACAAAGTTTGATGATTCTAAGCAAATTGGTTTCTGAAATATATTATTAAAGCCATAAATTTTCAAAAGTAGGTAATGGTGACCTACTTTTCAGTCGACTTACTCCGAAGACCCAAGATGCATCAACTGACAAAGTTTGATGATTCTAAGTCAATTAGTACCCGAAATATTTAATTAAAGCCATAAATTTTCAAAAGTAGGTCATGGTGACCTACTTTTCAGTTGACCTACTCCAAAGATCTACGATGCATCAACTGACAAAGTTTGATGATTCTAAGCCAATTAGTACCTGAAATATTTAATTATAGTCATATAAATTGAAAAGTAGATCACGGTGACCTACTTTTCAGTCGACCTACTGCGATGACCCAAGATACATCAACTTACAAAGTTTTATGATCATAGGCGTAAAAATGTCCAAATTATGCCTCTAAACCGCTTTGAAATCGCATACCTGCAAAGTTCAAAAAGTAGGTCACTGTGACCTACGTTTTAATACATATGTTTTATGGCCCCAAGATGCATCATCTTGCAAGATTTCATGATTCTGAACCTCTCAGTAATCAAATTATTGACCTGAATTGTTCTGTAAAAGATTAGCCATCAATTTCAAAAAGTAGGTCAAGGTGACCTACTTTTTAGTTGACGTACTTCGATGAACCAATATACATCAACTGACAAAGTTTGATGATCATAGGCCTTAAATTGTTCAAAATATGTCTCTAAATCATTTTGATAAAGAATGGCCGCAAAATTTAAAAAGTAGGCAACTGTGACTTACTTTTAAGTCAACATGATATGAGGTCCTTAGATGCATCAACTGACAAGATTTGATGATCCTAGTCCTTATAGTAAGCAAAAATATCAACATTTTAATAAAATGTAATTTTTGGTCAACTTTGAAGTGACCTTGAGACCACACCCTTTGCCCCAGGGTGATGCCTTGAACAACTTTTAATCTAAAACATATCCTCATCCTTTTGTGTAAGTTTGGTGATAATCTTCCCAGTGGTTCTTGAGAAGAAGATTTCTTAGCAACCAGTATTTTTGTTTCTATTTTCCTAATTATCTCCCCTTGCTTAAGGGTCACAACCCTAGTTTTAGTATAAAAGGGAGCCCTTGGGCCAAGGATACCCTGTGAAAAATTGCACAATAATTGGCCAAGGGGTTCTTGAGTTATGGCCCATATTCTAAAAAGTTTACGCACACCGAACAAATGGCTATAGCATTAACTCTTTGAGCCTTTGGCTAAGAAGAGCTAATAAAGAGAACCCTGTATGCAATAGTTGGCATAAAAAATAGAATACCAACAACTAATATTCTTGTCATAAATGATCCAAAACAAAGTCCAAACACTCATCAACTCTCTTCCAAATGTACAACTGATTTGCACATTAAAAAAATCCTATCCCAAAAACTGTAGGATGCAATACCCTATAAGAAATATTTTGCACAAACATCTGGTATTTTCCCAGTCACTAATCAAAAACCAAAATCAATGTACTAAATATAGGATCTCCCATGATTTGTAGTTGGATATGACTTTTATCCAACGAGTTATGTGTTTTTTAAAAACACACAACGAGTTGGATAAAAGTCATATCCAACTACAAATCATGGGAGATTCTTTTTATCCCATGTTTAATACTTCACAACCAATTTTTTTACACTGTTATATATAGGACTCCACTTTATTTTACTTCATCACTCTAACGGAAAAACCATTGTGACGTCACAACTGCACTTAACTGTGGGTTATGAAAAAAATATCCAATGAGTCATATCCACGGGATAAACATGGGATAAACATATCTCTTATATAAATATGTACAACTTCTCTGCACAACAAACTCCTTACTTTCAAAACTGTTGATGGGATTATCCAGACATATGATATGCCAAAATAAGCAATATTTGGCACCGAAACTGATGAAGTTCAACAACTGTTCATTTCCCAAAAATGATCTAAATTCAAAATCAGAGCACCATGCACATCTTTAATGAAAGTTTATAACCTCATCTGCAAAACAAACATCTTCTGATTTTGAAAACTGTTAGAGTGCTTATCCTAAAAAAAGATGTAAAAGCTACATTATACATACAAATGACTAAGTTCAACAACTGCTATTTTCCCTATAAATTATCTGAAATCAAAACTCAACTATCTTGTACATCATTAGTGTATGTACAATTGATCTGTATAAAAATACCTCTTATCCTTAACACTATAAGAGAAGAGAACTGGATAAATGATGAGCACTGTAATCAATATTTTGCATAAAATTCACCCAGTTCATCTGCTAATATCCCTCTCCTAAATGATCAAAACTCAAAATTTAGGTACCAAGTTCACTTTTCAGGGGATAGATAATTGATCCCCAATTGTAGGATACTCTGGAAAAATGAGCATGTTCAACCACTGCTATTTTCCCCCATCACACATTAAAATTCAAAATTAAAGTAACCAGTAGATCCTTAATACATGTAATGTACAATTTACCTGCAAAATATTAATTTCTTATTTTCAACAATTTAGCAAGATGTATCCAATCAAATGTTGTACTCTCTTATATTCTGTAGCACAAAAATGACTGAAGTTCAATAACTGCTATTTGAAGCATAAATGATCAGTAGTCTAAATCCAAGTACTACGCAAATACTTAATGTATGTACTTTTGATCTGCAAACCAAAAACTTCTTATTGTAAAAACTGGTGCAGAAGTCATCCGAACAAATTTTGAACCCCGTATGCAATATTTTGCAGAAAAATGAGGTGACTAATTTTAACAACTGGTACCTTTATAGATGATCAAAAATCAAACTCGAAGCATCATATTCATTTCCGATGTACGTTTCTTTGATCTGCAAAATAAAAATAAATGATATCTTTAAAACTGTTGAAGGAGTTGTCTAGAAAAATCATGTACACTTGTAAGCAATATAACACAGTAAATGGCTAAATTTATCACATGGTATTTTCTTATCAATGACCAAAAATCAAACTCCAAGCATATTGGCATCTCTGCTGTATGTAAATTAGACTTGATCAATTAGAAACCCATTATCCCTTTCATGGGATTTCTTTTAGCAGAAAACTGAAGAAGGTATTGTCTACAGAACTGTTGTACCCTTAAAGTAATATTTTGCATCAAATTGACATGTTAACAGTTTGTATCTTTTTCATAAATGACCAAAAACCAAACCAAGGTGCCATGAATATCAATGATGTAAAAACATTCAGGAAAAAAGTCCTTAGGTTTAGATATGTAGGAGCTTTCTGGACAAATAAAATGAACCCTTTATGCAAGAGTTGACATAAAAATCAAAAATACCAACAACTAGTATATTTGGGTACAGCCCACTAATTGTTTTCCCATAGGTGGCAATGTTAATGTTTATTCACATAGCAATGTCCCTAATTTTTGTTCAGCATTGAGTGACCCCTCAAATCAAAGCACATCAAGTTGTCTTTCCTTGGTTAAAATCTCGAGGTGGCATGTCAGATTCGTTTTGCGGCAAAATGCGTCTGTCTGCGTTAACCTCTGAAAATGAAAGTGAAAGTAGGGGATTTCAAGACTTCTCACTGGTGTTACAATACATAAAATAATTCTGCTGATCTTCTTGATAAATTACATCTGCCAAGCTTTTTTGCAAGGGAACATACTCCTTATCAACAAGTATGAGGCTCAGTTTAATACCTTATCACAGTTTTTTTTATTCAGGTCTGCAAATTAAAGAACTTGTAATTTTTTCTGCACTTCTTTCTTCTCCTACCGATTCTAAAAATAATTAGAGGTATGTATCCAATATGAAAAAGTATTTTCTGGATTTTACAACATTTAACATCATAAGTCATACTACAGACTATGTAGTGACATTATGCCAAATTTCAGGAAAATTCAATCATTAATAAAGATTTTACAGCATGCACAGTTCTATATGCAAAATTCTTTTAAAATGCTTCCATCTAGCCACAACTGCACCCAAATTTTAAGTCATCAGTTAGCCTATTAATGTACTTATACCATTTTTATTCTCTTTTATAACTTTAAATACATCAAGCAAAATCATGATCAAGCACTCATATGGGTCCATTTCTCTTATTTCAAAAAATCAATGCATTTTTGCACAAAATTTTATCATCCCTCACCATTGAATTCATTGTTTCTCCATGATTGACAAAAAAATTAAGTTTACAAATACCCCGAAAGTAGTAAAAATAGGAAGTACTGATTATTTCCTGTCCATTGATGTATCATTCAGGAAAATTGGTGTAGGAATAAAGAATTTATAAGCCTTTATATTCTTGTGTACATTCATCTGTTTCAAAGCAATTTTTACACCAATGCAAGTTCACTCATCTATGACGTCATAATGACATCATAATAATGGATTGCTTATTACACATGTAGTGTTACTTTTCCCGTGCTTTTAATAAAAGTTGAAATTAGAACTAAAATATTCATTATAACTATAAAATAATAAAAATACTTGCATGAGCAGATCAAATAAATAGTCAACAGAAAATGTTTTGTTTCCATGGTAACCAATTTGTAATTTGTAGGAAAATGAAAGAGAACTTTGAAAATTTTGAATTTCCTTACAAGTCGCTCATTCTGACTGACAAATATTTTAGGAATGACTCTAATTCTTGGCCAAATTATTCGAGTATAACCTGGTTTGGGTCAGTGTACGCTTTATAATCCGCTAAGCGGATTATAAAACAGGTTTGGGTCAGTTTAAGCTTTATAATCCGCTAAGCGGATTATAAAACAGCGTAAACTGACCCAAACCAGGTTATACTCGAATAATTTGGCCAAGAATTAGAGTCATTCCTTATAATTTAATTTTAAAATCATTAAATAACTATGGGTGTAAAATTTCGTTACTTTTTATTAGTTCAAATTTGCCGCTCAATAATACAACCATAGTAATGGAAGTAACGGAAGTGATGGGAATTGAGGGGAGGAAAAAACTGATACATAGGCCTAGCAGCCATGTTGTTTGGTTACATGTGGTAAGATCAAATTATTGTTTGAAATTAAAGGTACATTTATTAAATCTGGAATTTTCCATGAATCCCGAGGACTGGGTATGAGAGGATTGTATGGATACAGATGATTCAGCTGGTTGTCAAGGGGGTGTGTCCCCATACCAAACCAGGTTATACAGAAATAATTTGTGTTCCTTTTTGGATATTAACCAATCAGAGGCTAGAATACAAACAAAATTAAATTATTAAAGAAATTTCAACTCTTATATATTTTTTAGTCTTAATATTTTATCATACACAACACTTTGAATGTAATTGTTTTGAAATTCTCTTTAAAATATATTACCTGTAAAATATATAGCATACATGTACAGATTAGTTTGATGGTCACTTTCGTAGCTCAAATATTCATTTAAAATCTACATTTACTAAGCTTTAATACCCCCCCCCCCCCCCACACACACACACACATACACACACAAAGAAGCTTTAGAAAATTCAACTTACATATTAAAAGTACTGCCATCATTTTACATGTGAAGACTCAAGATGTGTTCAAATGAGTTTGTTTTTCCTGACTGATAGTTTTAAACACCATCTGCATGAACCTCGAAGTTGTCCTGTATCACCATGAACCTAAAAAAAAAAATCAATTTAAAAAATGGTGCAATAATTAATCAGCATCAAAAAGCACCTTAAATATTCACAGACAGACATCAAACACACACAATCCTACAACATTCCCTTATGCCCTTAATTTGATATCAATTGAAAATTATGAATTGGCACTGATTAGTAACAGCATTGTTAAATTACATGTAAATTAATAATACAGGTAAAAAGCATGTAACTGACAATAATTATACATTAGACAAATACATGTAATCCAGTTAATAAAATATATATAAAAAAAAAAAATGTTAGTGTGCATGTTCATGCACACACTGCTTAACTTCTACACAACTGTAGCCTGACCGACTTCTTTGAAAGAATGCACATGTATGTCCTCGTTCATCTATTTCTATTCCATGAAAATAAAAGTTTTCATTTACAAATATTGTAATAAGGCATTGAAACCTCTTTTTTCTTTACCTCTTTCATAAAATGACAAATGCATATCACCTACATACTGCAAGACTCTGCATTAGGTAGCACTAAGCAGTTTTGATAACTTACTGTTATTCTACTTTCACTTTGACCTTGAAGTTCACTAAATACCGATTCCGACCTCATTTCTGAATTTTTGTGTATTGATGATAAACAATAGTGGTGGATTTACTTCTAAAATAATTGTTCCTTTTCTAAATTTCTATTCATGGCTCTGATTTACTAAATTGTATAAAATTGATACATTTAATTTACATGCTACATGTGTACACAATGGGAGATATGAGCATAAGCTGCATGTTCCTAAAGGGGGGGGGGGAGGGAGTGGGTATTAACAAATCGATTTGTTTCAAAATATGTATAAACAAATTAAAATTTGCTTCTTTCATAAATATAAACAATTGGAAGTGATAGTAAACAAAACAAAGTAAAGATCTATGAGAATTTTCTCTTACCAATAGGCTTCACATATTGGGTACAGCCCACTAATTGTTTTCCCATAGGTGGCAATGTTAATGCTTATTCACATAGCAATGTCCCTAATTTTCGTTCAGCATTGAGTGACCCCTCAAATCAAAGCACATCAAGTTGTCTTTCCTTGGTTAAAATCTCGAGGTGGCATGTCAGATTTGTTTTCCGGCAAAATGCGTCTGTCTGCGTTAACCTCTGAAAATGAAAGGGGATTTCAAGACTTCTCACTGGTGTTATAATACACAAAAATAATTCTGCTGATCTTCTTGATAAATTACATCTGCCAAGCTTTTTTGCAAGGGAACATACTCCTTATCAACAAGTATGAGGCTCAGTTTAATACCTTATCACAGTTTTTTTTATTCAGGTCTGCAAATTAAAGAACTTGTAATTTTTTCTGCACTACTTTCTTCTCCTACCGATTCTAAAAATAATTAGAGGTATGTACCCATTTGTCATAAGTGATCCAAAACAAAGTCCAAACACTCATCAACTCTCTTCCAAATGTACAACTGATTTGCACATTAAAAAAATCCTATCCCAAAAACTGTAGGATGCAATATCCTATAAGAAATATTTTGCACAAACATCTGGTATTTTCCCAGTCACTAATCAAAAATCAATATCAATGTACTAAACATATCTCTTACATAAACATGTACAACTTCTCTGCACAACAAACTCCTTACTTTCAAAACTGTTGATGGGATTATCCAGACATATGATATGCCAAAATAAGCAATATTTGGCACCGAAACTGATGAAGTTCAACAACCGTTCATTTCCCAAAAATGATCTAAATTCAAAATCAGAGCACCATGCACATCTTTAATGAAAGTTTATAACCTCATCTGCAAAACAAACATCTTCTGATTTTGAAAACTGTTAGAGTGCTTATCCTGAAAAAAGATGTAAAAGCTACATTATACATACAAATGACTAAGTTCAACAACTGCTATTTTCCCTATAGTTGATCTGAAATCAAAACTCAACTATCTTGTACATCATTAGTGTATGTACTATTGATCTGTAAAAAAAAAAAAAAAAACCCTTATCCTGAACACAAAAAGAGAAGAGAACTGGATAAATGATGAGCACTGTAATCAATATTTTGCATAAAATTCACCCAGTTCATCTGCTAATATCCCTCTCCTAAATGATCAAAACTCAAAATTTAGATACCAAGTTCATTTTTCAGGGATAGATAATTGATCCCCAATTGTAAGAGTACTCTGGAAAAATGAACATGTTCAACCACTGCTATTTTCCCCCATCACACATTAAAATTCAAAATTAAAGTATTCAGTACATCCTTAATACATGTAATGTACAATTTACCTGCAAAATATTAATTTCTTATTTTCAACAATTTAGCAAGATGTATCCAAACAAATGTTGTACTCACTTATATTCTGCTGCACAAAAATGACTGAAGTTCAATAACTGCTATTTGAAGCATAAATGATCAGTAGTCTAAATCCAAGTACTGCGCAAATACTTAATGTATGTACTTTTGATCTGCAAACCAAAAACTTCTTATTGTAAAAACTGGTGCAGAAGTTATCCGAACAAATGATGAACCCAGTATGCAATAATTTGCAGAAAAATGAGGTGACTAATTTTAACAACTGGTACCTTTATAGATGATCAAAAATCGAAGTCGAAGAATCATATTCATTTCCGATGTACATTTCTTTGATCTGCAAAATAAAAATAAATGATAACTTTAAAACTGTTGAAGGAGTTGTCTGGAAAATTCATGTACACTTGTAAGCAATATAACATATTAAATGGCTAAATTTATCAACTGGTATTTTCTTATCAATGACCAAAATCAAACGCCAAGTATATTGGCATATCTGGTCTATGTTCATTAGACTTGATCAATTAGAAACCCATATTCCCTTTCATGGGATTTCTTTTAGCAGAAAACTGAAGAAGGTATTGTCTGCAGAAATGTTGTACCCTTAACATAATATTTTGCATCAAATTGACATGTTCAGCAGTTTGTATCTTTTTCATAAATGACCAAAAACCAAACCAATGTGCCATGAATATCAATGATGTAAAAATATTCAGGAAAAAAGTCCTTAGATTTAGATATGTAGGAGCTTCCTGGACAAAAAAATGAACCCTTTATGCAAGAGTTGACATAAAAATCAAGAATACCAACAACTAGTATATTTGTCATAAATGATTCAAAACAGAGTCCAAACACTTATCAACTCTCTTCCAAATGTACAACTGATTTTCACAATAAAAAATCCTATCCCAAAAACTGTAGGATGCAATACCCTATAAGAAATATTTTGCACAAACATCTGGTATTTTCCTAGTCACTAATCAAAAATCAAAATCAATGTACTAAACATATCTCTTATACGAGGGTTGTTCGAAAAGTTCGTGGACGATGTCAATCCTCATTATACTACTTTCAAGAAATTTAATATAAGCACATTATCACATGTAAAAATATTTATTTTATTGATGTGTGAAGTTTCATTCCATTCGATTTAATAGAAATCAATTCACTTTATTTTAAAATCAACGTTTGATAACCCCGGAACAAACTAAACAACAATATAACGTCAAAAATATAACGTCATGGGGTTCTCAAAATATTCTCCCTGTACATTTCACACAGTCTGGTCCAATATCTGCTAATTTAAAACGTGTGTCTATCAATTGAAATTCATTTTGTAAACAATTGTTCCAATAGCATCATTTTGATTGTTATTATTTTCTTTTTTATCGCTTAACTATGCTTTCACAAGACCAGCAACCATGAAACGCTTTTCTCTTTCCAAGACCTTACTAACTGAACGTTTTTGGGTTGATTCTTTACAGATAATCCGTTTTCTCACAGATCGTCTTCGTCTGACACAGAGTTTATATCATTCAAACACCGCCCAGGCCATTTACACACACATATGCATGACCAGCTTTTGAGACATTTCATGCTTTCTACAACCTATTCATATTTTATTCTGACGTTTTCCAGAGTTCAACTGAAAATTGTGTTGTAAACTGCTGCTCCGTGACGTTCTACATCGTCACATTTTTGCCTTTTTTCAATGAGGATTACCTATCTTCAGAAATTGATTTCTTTTCCATGAAGGAAACTATTAAGTCATAATTTGGAATATGGAACGATGTAACAATTCTTAATTTGATCCTCTAGATTTATTTTGATTTCGAGCCATTTCACAGATGATATGACTACAGACATTAATTAGTGTATTGTTTGTAATAACAAAATTTTGACTTGCTCCGCGAACCAATTTTCGTAGTTTTTAACTCCTAATAAGTTTAAAATAAATCGAGATATTTTAAAAATCTTTAATGCAAATCATTTGAATTAATTGTAAAAATATTTCTACCAAATTTGGATATAATATGACGGTAAATAAAAAAGATGCAAGAAGTCAACGAACTTTTGGAACAACCCTCGTATAAATATGTACAACTTCTCTGCACAACAAACTCCTTACGTTCAAAACCGTTGATGGGATTATCCAGACATATGATATGCCAAAATAAGCAATATTTGGCACCGAAACTGATGAAGTTCAACAACTGTTCATTTCCCAAAAATGATCTTAATTCAAAATCAGAGCACCATGCACATCTTTAATGAAAGTTTATAACATCATCTGCAAAACAAACAACATCTTTTGATTCTCAAAACTGTTAGAGTGCTTATCCTGAAAAAAGATGTAAAGCTACATTATACATACAAATGACTAAGTTCAACAACTGCTATTTTCCCTATAAATGATCTGAAATCAAAACTCAACTATCTTGTACATCATTAGTGTATGTACTATTGATCTGTAAAAAAAAAAAAACCCTCTTATCCTGAACACAAAAAGAGAAGAGAACTGGATAAATGATGAGCACAGTAATCAATACTTTGCATAAAATTCACCCAGTTCATCTGCTAATATCCCTCTCCTAAATGATCAAAACTCAAAATTTAGATACCAAGTTCATTTTTCAGGGATAGATTATTGATCCCCAATTGTAGGAGTACTCTGGAAAAATGAACATGTTCAACCACTGCTATTTTACCCCATCACACATCAAAATTCAAAATTAAAGTATTCAGTACATCCTTAATACATGTAATGTACAATTTACCTGCAAAATATTAATTTCTTATTTTCAACAATTTAGCAAGATGTATCCAAACAAATGTTGTACTCTCTTATATTCTGCAGCACAAAAATGACTGAAGTTCAATAACTGCTAATTGAACCATAAATGATAAGTAGTCTAAATCCAAGTACTACGCAAATACTTAATGTTTGTACTTTTGATCTGCAAACCAAAAACTTCTTATTGTAAAAACTGGTGCAGAAGTTATCCGAGCAAATGATAAACCCAGTATGCAATATTTTGCATAAAAATGACGTGACTAATTTTAACAACTGGTACCTTTATAGATGATCAAAAATCAAACTCGAAGCATCATATTCATTTCCGATGTACGTTTCTTTGATCTGCAAAATAAAAATAAATGATATCTTTAAAACTGTTGAAGGAGTTGTCTGGAAAAATCATGTACACTTGTAAGCAATATAACACATTCAATGGCTAAATTTATCAACTGGTATTTTCCTATCAATGACCAAAAATCAAACTCCAGGTATATTGGCATCTCTATTGTATGTTCATTAGACTTGATCAATTAGAAACCTATATCCCCTTTCATGGATTTCTTTTAGCAGAAAACTGAAGAAGGTATTGTCTGCAGAAATGTTGTACCCTTAAAGTAATATTTTACATCAAACTGACATGTTCAACAGTTTGTATCTTTTTCATAAATGACCAAAAACCACACCAAGGTGCCATGAATATCAATGATGTAAAAACATTCAGGAAGAAAGTCCTTAGGTTTAGATATGTAGGAGCTTCCTGGACAAATAAAATGAACCCTTTATGCAAGAGTTGACATAAAAATCAAGAATACCAACAACTAGTATATTTGTCATAAGTGATCCAAAACAAAGTCCAAACACTTATCAACTCTCTTCCAAATGTACAACTGATTTGCACAATAGAAAAATCCTATCCCAAAAACTGAAGGATGCAATACCCTATAAGAAATATTCTGCACAAACATCTGGTATTTTCCCAGTCACTAATTAAAAATCAAAATCAATGTACTAAACATATCTCTTATATAAATATGTACAATTTCTCTGCACAACAAACTCCTTACTTTGAAAACTGTTGATGGGATTATCCAGACATATGATATGCCAAAATAAGCAATATTTGGCACCGAAACTGATGAAGTTCAACAACTGTTCATTTCCCAAAAATGATCTAAATTCAAAATCAGAGCACCATGCACATATTTAATGAAAGTTAATAACCTCATCTACAAAACAAAAAACATCTTCTGATTTTGAAAACTGTTAGAGTGCTTATCCTGAAAAACGATGTAAAAGCTACATTATACATACAAATGATTAAGTTCAACAACTGCTATTTTCCCTATAAATGATCTGAAATCAAAACTCAACTATCTTGTACATCATTAGTGTATGTACTATTGATCTGTAAAAAAAACCCCCTCTTATCCTGAGCACAGTAAGAGAAGAGAACTGGATAAATGATGAGCACTGTAATCAATACTTTGCATGAAATTCACCCAGTTCATCTGCTAATATCCCTCTCCTAAATGATCAAAACTCAAAATTTAGGTACCAAGTTCGTTTTTCAGGGATAGATAATTGATCCCCAATTGTAGGAGTACTCTGGAAAAATGAACATGTTCAACCACTGCTATTTTACCCCATCACACATCAAAATTCAAAATTAAAGTACTCAGTACATCCTTAATACATGTAATGTACAAATTACCTGCAAAATATTAATTTCTTATTTTCAACAATTTAGCAAGATGTATCCAAACAAATGTTGTACTCTCTTATATTCTGTAGCACAAAAATGACTGAAGTTCAATAACTGCTAATTGAACCATAAATGATCAGTAGTCTAAATCTAAGTACTACGCAAATACTTAATGTATGTACTTTTGATCTGCAAACCAAAAACTTCTTATTGTAAAAACTGGTGCAGAAGTTATCCGAACAAATGTTGAACCCAGTATGCAATATTTTGCATAAAAATGATGTGACTAATTTTAACAACTGGTACCTTTATAGATGATCAAAAATCAAACTCGAAGCATCATATTCATTTCCGATGTACGTTTCTTTGATCTGCAAAATAAAAATAAATGATATCTTTAAAACTGTTGAAGGAGTTGTCTGGAAAAATCATGTACACTTGTAAGCAATATAACACATTCAATGGCTAAATTTATCAACTGGTATTTTCCTATCAATGACCAAAAATCAAACTCCAGGTATATTGGCATCTCTATTGTATGTTCATTAGACTTGATCAATTAGAAACCTATATCCCCTTTCATGGATTTCTTTTAGCAGAAAACTGAAGAAGGTATTGTCTGCAGAAATGTTGTACCCTTAAAGTAATATTTTACATCAAACTGACATGTTCAACAGTTTGTATCTTTTTCATAAATGACCAAAAACCACACCAAGGTGCCATGAATATCAATGATGTAAAAACATTCAGGAAGAAAGTCCTTAGGTTTAGATATGTAGGAGCTTCCTGGACAAATAAAATGAACCCTTTATGCAAGAGTTGACATAAAAATCAAGAATACCAACAACTAGTATATTTGTCATAAGTGATCCAAAACAAAGTCCAAACACTTATCAACTCTCTTCCAAATGTACAACTGATTTGCACAATAGAAAAATCCTATCCCAAAAACTGAAGGATGCAATACCCTATAAGAAATATTCTGCACAAACATCTGGTATTTTCCCAGTCACTAATTAAAAATCAAAATCAATGTACTAAACATATCTCTTATATAAATATGTACAATTTCTCTGCACAACAAACTCCTTACTTTGAAAACTGTTGATGGGATTATCCAGACATATGATATGCCAAAATAAGCAATATTTGGCACCGAAACTGATGAAGTTCAACAACTGTTCATTTCCCAAAAATGATCTAAATTCAAAATCAGAGCACCATGCACATATTTAATGAAAGTTAATAACCTCATCTACAAAACAAAAAACATCTTCTGATTTTGAAAACTGTTAGAGTGCTTATCCAGACAAGAGGTCCATGGGCCACAGCGCTCACCTGAGTAATCTTGGCCTTGCTGTTTTTCACCTGATTCCCCTCCCCCCCCCCCGTAGTACTTATTGTGGCCCGGCCCTACCCCCAGGGGTCATAATTTAAACAATTGGAATCTACACTACCCCTGGATGCTACCACATAAGTTTCAGCTTTTCTGGCCCAGTGGTTCTTGAGAAGAAGAGTTTTAAAGATTTTTACTACATATTTCAATGTAAAACTTGGATTCCCTATTGTGGCCCCGCCCTACCCCTGGGGGTCATGATTTGAACAATTTACAATCTACACTACCCCAGGATGCTTCCACCTAAGTTTCAGCTTTTCTGGCCCAGTGGTTCTTGAGAAGAAGATTTTTAAAGATTTTTACTACATGTTTCAATGTAAAACTTGGATTCCCTATTGTGGCCCTGCCCTACCCCCGGGGGTCATGATTTGAACAATTTACAATCTACACTACCCCAGGATGCTTCCACATAAGTTTCAGCTTTTCTGGCCCAGTGGTTCTTGAGAAGATTTTTAAAGATTTTTACTACATATTTCAATGTAAAACTTGGATTCCCTATTGTGGCCCCGCCCTACCCCCGGGGGTCATGATTTGAACAATTTACAATCTACACTACCCCAGGATGCTTCCACATAAGTTTCAGCTTTTCTGGCCCAGTGGTTCTTGAGAAGAAGAGTTTTAAAGATTTTTACTACATATTTCAATGTAAAACTTGGATTCCCTATTGTGGCCCCGCCCTACCCCCGGGGGTCATGATTTGAACAATTTACACTCTACACTACCCCGACTGCTTCCACCTAAGTTTCAGCTTTTCTGGCCCAGTGGTTCTTGAGAAGAAGATTTTTAAAGATTTTTACTACATATTTCAATGTAAAACTTGGATTCCCTATTGTGGCCACCCCCTACCCCCGGGGGTCATGATTTGAACAATTTACAATCTACACTACCCCAGGATGCTTCCACCTAAGTTTCAGCTTTTCTGGCCCAGTGGTTCTTGAGAAGATTTTTTAATGACCCCCCCCCCAAATTTTTGTATTTTCTTGATTATCTCCCCTTTGAAGGGGACTTGGCCCTTCATTTTAACAATTTAAAATCCCCTTCACCCAAGGATGCTTTGTACCAAGTTTGGTTAAAATTGGCCCAGTGGTTCTTGAGAAGAAGTCGAAAATGTGAAAAGTTTACAGACGGACGGACAGACGGACGAACGACGGACAACGGGTGATCAAAAAAGCTCACTTGAGCTTTCAGCTCAGGTGAGCTAAAAAACGATGTAAAAGCTACATTATACATACAAATGACTAAGTTCAACAACTGCTATTTTCCCTATAAATGATCTGAAATCAAAACTCAACTATCTTAATACATGTAATGTACAAATTACCTGCAAAATATTAATTTCTTATTTTCAACAATTTAGCAAGATGTATCCAAACAAATGTTGTACTCTCTTATATTCTGCAGCACAAAAATGACTGAAGTTCAATAACTGCTAATTGAACCATAAATGATCAGTAATCTAAATCCAAGTACTACGCAAATACTTAATGTTTGTACTTTTGATCTGCAAACCAAAAACTTCTTATTGTAAAAACTGGTGCAGAAGTTATCCGAACAAATGTTGAACCCAGTATGCAATATTTTGCATAAAAATGATGTGACTAATTTTAACAACTGGTACCTTTATAGATGATCAAAAATCAAACTCGAAGCATCATATTCATTTCCGATGTACGTTTCTTTGATCTGCAAAATAAAAATAAATGATATCTTTAAAACTGTTGAAGGAGTTGTCTGGAAAAATCATGTACACTTGTAAGCAATATAACACATTCAATGGCTAAATTTATCAACTGGTATTTTCCTATCAATGACCAAAAATCAAACTCCAGGTATATTGGCATCTCTATTGTATGTTCATTAGACTTGATCAATTAGATACTTATATTCCCTTTGATGGGATTTCTTTTAGCAGAAAACTGAAGAAGGTATTGTCTGCAGAAATGTTGTACCCTTAAAGTAATATTTTGCATCAAATTGACATGTTCAACCAGTGATTGGGAAGGCCATCAAGTCAATGGGACTATGGCACAACTGTCAAAGTATTTAATGGGCCATTTTGAAAATGAATGGGCCATCTCTATATTCTAAGAACAAGAAGCCCAAGGGCCTTAACGGTCACCTGCGTATAATACAACAATTTAGAGGATCCCTAGAGTATAAAATGAACTGAAAGGTGAAACTTTGTTGCCCAAAAGCAAGAAAAATAGGGTGATCGGGATCAACAAAATAATTAGTTTAGTATTCATAAACAGTTCATAAATTAGGTTCAAATCTGTTCCCAATTTATCACTATCACCATACAGTATATTAACAAACTATCAGTACTACTGTACTACTTTAATTCCTTGTGGAGATCTCTTACATTGGCCTCTCTTGGTCTTTGATGAACATTTAATAAAACAAGTTATTTTTGTCCCATTTTTATTTATCTATTACTTACAAGTCTACTGATCATTTAAACTATAAAAGTACTTTTTGTATTATACAATAAAAAATCTTGCATAATTCTCTTATTCTATTAACCTTTCAAATACTTTATTTACAGTGATTAATCATCAAAAGTAAATGGCAAAGGAAAATAACTCCTCTCAGTAGAATACAAATTAAAAGAGCCCAGGCAAGGACCAGAACACTTGATCAAATAGTCCAGATGTTCAAAAATCTGGTAAAAATACCCTTGCTTATTAAAACTTTTACTCTTTTTGCCTCTGATATGCCCAGGTGCAGAGAAGATTTTTGAAGAAATAATGCATTTTTACTACAGATTCACTTAATTATCAATAGAGCCCCCACCCCCCCCCCCCCCACCCCCACTAAGAAATGCCAGAGCCTCTGACCATGGGACCAGAAGTTTGCTCATCATAAGTTATCACTTTCTTTATCTGCTTCACACTAAGGAGCAGACAGGATTATTTAATAGAATTAATGCATTTTCACTATATTATCCAGAGCCCCACCCTTAAACCAGCACATCTGACCCAGGGGTCATGCAATTCACTACTCTGGAAAAAGCACTCTTGCTCATCATAACTATACACTTAGCTTCTTTGCTTTTTAACCAGAAGCAGAAAAGAATATTTTAAAAGAAATTTTGCTTTTTCACTACATAATCAATAGAGCCCCCCCCCCTCTTTTCACCAGAACCCTTGACCCTGGGGCAATGAAATTCACAATTTTGGAAGAGGTATCCTTGCGTATCATAACAATGTACATAGTTTGTTTAAAAAATACCCAGGGGCAGAGAAGAAGATTTTAAAAGAAATAATTCACCTTTACTATAGGATCTATATAGCCCCGCCCTAGCACCAGAATCCCTGTCCCTGGGGCCTTGAATTTCATAATTTTGGAAGAGGCATCCTTGCTTATCATAACTATATACTTAGTTTGTTTAAATAATACCCAGGAGCAGAAAAAGAAGAATTAATGTATTTTCACTATATAATAAATAGAGCCCCGACCTAGCAACAGAACCCCTGACCCTGGGGCCATGAATTTCACAGTTTTGGTAGAATCACTCTTGCTTATCATAACTATGTATTTAATTTGTTTCAATAATACCCAGGAGTAGAGAAGAAGATTTTCAAAGAAATAATGCACTTTCACTATATGATCTATATAGCCCGGCCCTAGCAACAGAACCCCTGACCTTGGGGCCTTGAATTTCACAATTTTGGTAGAGTCACCCTTGCTTATCATAACTATGTATTCAATTTGTTTTAATAATACCCAGGAGTAGAGAAGAAGATTTTCAAAGAAATAATGCTTTTTCACTATATGATCTATATAGCCCACACTACTGGACTTAAAATTCCCTGATATTCTGAAAAATCTCTGATAAACTCTGTTATCCACTGTTTAAGTACTGCTTTTCTCTGTATAAACACTGTACAGTCACTGTACAAAATCCCTGTGCCTACTGTAATCCCCAGTAAATCACAGTACAAACCCACTGTTATTTTCTATACATCCCTGTACTTTACTGTACGTCCCCTCTGTACGGCCCAGTACACCACTGTCTGTCCTTGTACGTCTGCACAGTACAGTACTGTACATCACAGACGTGTACAGTACTCAACTTCTGTACAGCACAGTACTCTACTGTTGCTCACTGTACGCGTCCCAGACTGGCACTGTACATCACTGAAGTTCAATGTACGCATCCCAGTTTGGCACTGTACATCACTGAACCATACTGCGAATATTTTAGACTTATTAAATGAATGAAATTTAACTTTTGAATTTCCTAAATTTTATTCTTCTCTTATTACTTCTCTAATTGTTCAGAAGCCTTTGGTATTTTAGATTTAAGAGAATAAAATATTTATTTCTTGTGCTGTTAGTACACTTAACACACACTAGCACCATATATAAAAAGTAAAAAATAAATCCTATAAATTATATTTAAGATCATTTAATTGATAATTATGATTCCTCTAGTCTTAAAGTTTTGAATTTACTGAGCAATTAAATTATATATAATAATTATCATTCATAGTATCGAACAATTTTAACGTAACATTGTCATTTTTCATAGTTCGATAATGCGGTTAACAACCTGATTTGGTAGGCAAAGTTACATGTTAAGAAAAATTTTGAAACATTAGACTAAGTATATTATATATTTTTAAAATATTTTTTATGAAAAAAATCAAGTCTCTCTTCCTCTCACTCATAAATTTACCCTGTCAATTTAATTATTTTTTACCACGGCTTGTGCTAAAAAAACCCTTATTATTGTTTGAATTGACTGTGTCAATACAAACAAAATATCAAAAAATGAAAAGAATGATTCAGTGGGTAGGGTGGCTTATCATGGTTGTGGGTTAACGTGTACACTCAACAGAAAATGTATACCAAACAGGAAAACGGTGGATTAAACAGCGGACAGTAGCCAGAGATTTAAACAAAAGGTTTCAAGACTGAGTGTCCTGATATTTCAACAAGGGGTGGTTACACAACGACAGGAAGCAATATATTTATAATTTCTTGAGAGCTTCAAACTTAAGATATTTGTGAATTAATAGAAACGCAAATTCAAACACAGATTTAGATTATACGTATTGAGACGTTTATTTTGATATCCATAATCAAATAATTAGATATCAAAAAAACTTCAGAATATTTTCATTATTTGGATTATTTATGAAAAATTATATCTTTATTTATTTATTTATTTATTTATCTATTTATTTTTATTTATCATTTGGATTGTAATTTTTTTTCTCTTTCTCTAAGTCTTCAAATATAATAGCAAACAAACAACAAACTTAAGGGAGTTATTTGAAATTTTAATATTAATAATAATTATTATAATTATAATATTAAATTAGGACGAAAAAAGTAACATGCAGCTGATGTGTTATTTGCTGTGTAAATAGTAGACTAACTGCACTTCAGATAAAAGTATACAGAACCTCTCTGTAAAAGAGAGAGAGAGAGAGAGAGGGGGGGGATAAGCCAATTTAATTGCAAGAGTAATCAACCAGTGTTAAATAAGTTTGTGTTTAAAAACTTTAAGATGTGTTTCATGTACAATATACACCTTGCATACCCTTAGAGCATTGGAAAGCCTAGTTTCACTAACAATGTTATTATACTTATACGGAAAGTAGAATTGTACATGTAGCTCCGTGAGACAGAGAGATCAGATAGGCAACCGGATCTGCCAGGGGCAAACAGATAATTTTTTTCAGTTTTAGGGACACCGTACTGTTCGAATTCCTTAGCGAGCCAAAAGAAAGGAAGGACCCCGCCCCCCCTCCAACTGGTTCCATTAAGCTTGATATTTATAATTAAATTTTAAAAGAAAGATTGATTAATAAATAATTCAATGAATTGATTTATGATTTGCTGCAAATGCCGTGAAATGTGAATTCAAATTTATTCAGGATATTTTGCTGTATTTGTATTTATTCCATTTTTTAAAGGTTGATTTCGCATATTTTTTTTTTAAATATATTCTTTAATTAGTTATTTTTTAGTTGCTTCAAACACATTTTTAGCACCTTGAGTCTGTAAATATACATTTAAGGCCATTGCTATTAGTTGATCATTGTCTATTTCATGACCATATGGAGAGGAAAAATATATCCAAGATAAATTTGAAAAGCTGACATACTATATTTAGTATAATTTTTCTTGGGTTATTGTAAGTCGAGAAATGCAAACCACAGATCAAGTGTTTGATGAATTTTTGTTTGTTTCTTTTCCCATAATTTGAGTTGAGAATAACAAAATAAAATTAATTTTTGAAATCTTATAATTACTACATTTAGTGAATTTTTGAAAGTAAAATGTCCCCATCGGCACCCCAGTTCAACGGTGAAAAAAGGGGGGTCTGACATCAATCTGGTGGACATATTATGACATATACCTTAAAATCGAACAATATGCATGAAAATTCGGTTCATTTATTCATCAGTTCATGATCAGCTGTACAAACCAAATGTATCAATATCAATAATATGACCCTAGTAAGCTAATATAATTTACGATTTATATACATATTCATGAAGAAAATGCATTCACAATTAAAGAAATGCTTCATTGGTCAAACAGATGAGAATAATATATCTATGTGCAGATCCGTATAAAGCATACGATCGCACTTGGCATTCAATATATGAAATTAAAATCGAGATCGTGTTCCGCACTTAACAATCTTCAACTAGAGGAGGAGAGAA